AAATATTGATATCGATGTACAGGATGTTCGAAAAGTCCCTGAGAAGAGTTGTTTCGTTTCAACACACTATTGACTGAATTTTATCCAACAATTTTGTGTTTTGGATAATAAATAAATACACAGAGTTTTGATTTCTATAGGCGAATTTCAAAATCATTGTTAAAAGGTTGAGACCTTTAACTGAAATATAAAAATAAACTTTTCTCAGAGACTTTTGGAACACCTTGTATTTATTAAGTAAGTCCAAATATAGATTGTATTAATGAATGAAATTTATGACAATCTGGATTTTGTCTTAAATAATTCTCTAATGTAACTACTAATAATTGATAACGTAAAATTTGCAAGACTATTATCTCCATTGCTTGTATTGCTTGTTTTTCATCAAATAAATAATTTAAATAACGCCAAAGAATAGTGGTATAAAAATTTTGAAATTCATATAATATTTTTTGATTTTTATATTCATAAAATTGATTATCATCATATGATGCAGATAAATTAACACTAAAAATAAAAACAATTAATGTAAGTTTTAATAATAATGGATAATTCATAAAACGATAGAAATATTGACGTGTTCGAAGCATTTGATCATGAAAATCTTTACCAATCCATTCAGATATACGTTTACCAAGATTTGAACAATCTTGAAAATTATGTATTATTGTATGATGTAAATGTATAATATTAATAAAATTTGATTTAATTAATATAATTTGATCATGTATATCTAATTGTTTAAATTCAGGTATTAATTTAAAAAAATTAATTAATGATTCATACATAATAATGTCATCGTTCATAAATTGTAAAAGAGATGTTGATGATGTATATTTATTAATATAAGAATAATCATTTTTATTTATTACTAATTGATAAGCATTATTTATATTATTTAATAATATTCGATCGGCATCATGTAAAATGTGATTACAACCAAAATGACTCATTTTATAAATCTAGAAGAGTAAGATTAAAAGACTATTATCATTATACAATTATTTTAAATTTACCGGTTTTACGACAAATTCTCGATTTTTTGATGTTAGCATTAAATGTTTTTTCTTTTGTAGATTTATTGGAAGAGTAATAAGAGATTGTTGATCATTTGTTTTCTTTTGTTCTTTTGTTAATCTTCGTAAATATCTTGTTTTTTTTTCTTCATCAGTACGAATCCAATCTTTACGCATTTTAATATCAAAACATTTTTTTAATCGACAATATGCACATTGACGACGTGTGCCAATAGTAATATCACAGTGACCATAATATCGACATTTTAGCTGAGACTGAAAAAGAAATTAATATTTGAGATATCATTTCATTGTAATTTGAAAATTTTCGGATAGAACTTGTAGGAATATTATAATTTCGTCAGTAGGACTTTCATCTATGTACTACCTATAGTTTCACTAAATTTACTCGGAATTTGATATAGATTACGAAATTTCATATCGACTAAGTTGATTGGTTATGTTCATCTATACTGTAGCCATAAATTTTCTATATAATTTCAGACAATAATTATTTGATTGATGTCTGTCACAACTCACACTGCTACATTGCGATCTCAAATCGCTGAAGGAACAACATTATCAATAAATCCAAGACGTGGGTGAGTTATGGTTGTGAATCATCCTTATAATCCACATTCAAAATAAAATTATTGGTTGAAACAATCAAGTCTCTTATTTATCTTGTTGGCGAATCTGTTTGTCCCGGGAGAAAAGCAACAATAATGTTTTCAAATCATACTTATCAGTCTCATCGCCAGATGAACATTAAGTTATACTTTATTGGTCTTTATCTTCGTATTAATGTTGCTTCTTTTCGTATTAAAAACATGACTCACTCATATTCAAATAAACTCTGAGTGTAAACTGTGATATATATATATATTGTAATAATATTAGCTTCGACCTTCACCTGTATCTTACAATAATAATATTTCGTGACGTATTTGCAAAAACCAACCATGCTTTCACCAATTGGTGAAAGCATAGTAGGTTTTTGTCATTAGGACAAAGTTTTCAATAGTTTGTGAATTTTGTTTTTAAATCATTCGAATGTTTATTACCATATCTCGTAATGCATTTCGACGAAAAAATGCTTTGCAAGATTCACAAGTAATTTGATCAAAATTATAACCGCGAGCTGAAGCACCACAAACACGACATTCGAGATTTAGACGTTGAGATTTTTGTATTGAATTATTGTTTGATAATGTTTGTAATTGATATTGATCAATCTAATGAGAAAAAAAAATAAGTAATATTAAATAAAAATACTTAATATAAATTTAAATTATTTACTTGAGATAATGAAGGCATTATTTCTTCCATTATATTATCATGTAAAATAAAATATTGATCACATTTATTTTGAAGATTAATATCATCACATAATGAAAATAAATTATCAAAGTCAAATGATGATGATGACATATTATGCGACATGAATGTGGGTGTAATATTATCACTATCTATAATATTCATATTTTATTCTATATTTATATAATCCTCGAAAAAAAATGATTATTTTATATCATTCTATATTTAAATCCTTTCGATAGATTTTATATGATTGTATTTATTATATAAACATGTTTTTACATGTTGTTTAATTTTATTAGGAATTATTTTCGAAATAAAAAAGAAACTAATGCAGTTCTATTTCAAAAGGGAAAAAAACAAATAAGGTCAAATGTTCGAACATACGAATAAATCAACATTGATTTTATTTTGCTTGATTGTATACCTACGTAACTATTGTACAGAATAGGATAATTGTCTTGGTTTTTCTATCGTAACATTTTTTTTTTCTTCATATATCCCTACACTTTGCATGAGCAATTTTTCCTTGAGAAAAAAATATAATTGTATTAGTTGGGTTAATATGAATGCAAATGACTGAATCACCAAAGAAGAGAAAAACAAGAAAGAAAATAAAAAACTGTGCAAAAATACAATGAATCATTATCATAAAAGAATATAACTTACAATAAATTGGGACGATTGTATTTTCTGATTGATATTTAAAATTTACATAGTGATATAATTAGTCATCGAAACAAAAAAAAAAGAGGTTATATGTACTCAAAATTAGAGAGTAAAAGAACGATGATAAAAATCGGTTAAATTTAGCATTATATGACATGATAAAAAACGGTTGATACGATTATTATCTTCTTAATCATGCTAATTATATGTATTAAAAAAAACCTAGAGTGAAACTGAAAACAAATCAACAATTAATTTTATAATTTTTAGCTGATGAAGGAACTTTCTGAGATGTTAAAAAGCTTTTGGCTGCATTACTTAGAGGATCACTAGGAAAAAGATATCGTTGCAAGTGGCTATTGACCTAAGAGATGAAATTTATTCGTAGATTTTCTCTATAGGATGATAATTATGAATTAAAATCGTATGTTCGAATATAAATAGTTTTTGTAATTTCGAACATTGCATCTCTCTCTTATGTTAAGGTTTTAAAATATACGCACTTTTAAAGTGATGGAAAAAAGTTTAGAAACAATGATTTTTTTTGTTTTTTTTGTTTTTCATAATGTTAAGCACGTAGCTCCAATCCAAATAATGACTTTAATAGTCAATGGAGTTTTTCTATCCAATACACTTTATAGCAAGATTTCACAGATGAACAATGACGGCAAAGTTCCTAAAAAACCGAACACGGTATTTTTTAGGTTCTAGAAAGCTTTGTCAGAGCTATTTTTAAACTGTGTCATCTTAAAGGGCACAAAATTCTAAGCAAAATGAGGGGTCACCGAGTTTTCTACGACCTCTCATTTTGCTTAGAATTTTTCGATTTTTAAGATAGCACCGTTTAAACATAGCTCTGACAAAGCTTTCTAGAACTTGAAAAATACCGTATTCAGTTTTTTAGAAGCCTTGACATCATTATTCGTCTATGGAATCTTGCTATAAAGTGTATTGGATAGAAAACTCCATTGACTATTAAAATCATTATTTGGATTGGAGCTATGTGCTTAACATTATGAAAAAAACCAAAAAAAAAAATCGTTGTTTTTAAACTTTTTTCCATCACTTTACATAAAACATTAATTTTTGGAAACTAAATGTTTCGCACATGTGATGCCGTAAATTTCAGAAAACTTTCATACAAGTTATGATAAAAAGTACTTTTTTTCTAAAATAGTATACTTTATGAATATATTATAGAAATATGACAACTTGAGTTTATCACCCATGTATCATCACTTGAATGAGTGTGAGTATTTTTTTACAAAAAAACAAAAATAAAGTTAAACAATTGTGTTAGTCATCTTCTATGTTATGCATCAATCATAGATAGACCTTCTTGTATGGTCTCATTCATGTATTGAAGAAAGTATAAAAAATTATTCTACAAGTGTAGATTCATAGAGGATCTTTTTTCGTAGAAAACTCTTATGCATGAAATTAAAATCAATTATATTGTTTAAGTTATATGCTATTGTTACGCTATAAACAGGAGGAGTAAAAATCTCATCGTAGCCCCAGCAATAGACTGAATATGTATCTCACCAAACAAAGATGTACCGAATAATACTGAACATAGCGCATTGTTCTAAATTCCACGCTCTATCTGCATAGATATTACACTGCAATTTATAATGCTCTTATTCGTTATATAGAGCACAATTTATTCTATTGAAGGATCTATTATAAAGAAAAGTTCAAGTTAGAACAGACGTACAATAGTTTGAAAAGATGAAAAATGACATCCTACGATTGTATCATGAATAAAAATTAAATAGATTAATACAATGACTTGAAAATTTTTAATAACACACTAGAGACTATGAACTGTAATATGATTAAAAACAAATCATTTTAGTTCATCTAGGCGTTTGAGATATCAAAAAAAGAGAGTCAGAGGGGGAACTCTTAAGAGTAGTCTCGTCTTTTTTTTGACCATTTTTGGTTACCAAAGAGAGTACCATCGATCCACATAAAATTTGTATCACAGATAGAGCACTCAAAAATAAGGTGACACATGTTCGAGAAACAAAAATTCAAACAAGGTTCTCGCGATTCGTTTCGAACTACATCGTGCCTGCTTACGACCGCTATTTAACTTTGTCACGTCGGGCTGAAAATTATTTTTGAGATATCTTAGGCTATATCGGAGAGATGATTCTAAGCTTTTTCAAAAACTTCACTTTCGGTTTTTTTTACAAAAAGAGTATGTAGAGATTCGGATTCAAAACTGGAGTGTTGACGTTCAGAGCTCTATAAATCTACGAGAATGATCGATTTTACCTTTGGAGAATATTTCCCAAGTTTCAGTCCGTTCGAATAAAGTTAGCAGGAAGGAAGGTCGTAAGCAGATCCAATAGAAACCCAGGATTTTTCGAAAAACTGCGGAAATCTTATTTAAATTTTTTTTCCCGAACACGTATCTTCCTATTTTATGTGCTCTATCTGTGGTAAGAATTTCATGCGGATCGGTTGTACCCTCTTCGATAATCATAAATGGTCAAAAACAGGGCAGGATATTCTTAAACACGCTACATATAAAGTAGTCAAATTTATTTTGGAAAGAAATGTGCTTATCTTAAAATCGATGTACAGGTCGTGCAAAAGAATTCTAGGATACCGAAGAATTACTTTCCAAAATTTCATATTACATTTGAATTAAACTTTATATAGATGGTTAGTATAGTTATTAAAGAAGGTTTCATCTTATGCTAAACAGACGCAAAAACTTGTTATTTTAATATAAAGAAATGAAAAGAAGAAAAAATCTCCATGGGCAAAAAGTTCTGAGACATACATTAAAAATATGAGAAAAAATATATTCTGATTTGATTGATAACCATTCAGTTGCTAAACATCTAATTCGTGTAGTTTCCTTTGAGTTTTTCTTGATACATGGGTATCGTGCATTATCATGTTGATAAAAATAGTTATTCTCCATTTGATACAGTTATACTGTCGGAATCAAATAATTTTCTAAAACATTACAATAAACATTACTATTGGTATTCTTACTGTAAATCTAAAAACAACCAGTTCTTTTGCAAGTAATACAACCCCGAAGTTCAACACGATCATTACCTCCCGTTGCTGCAATTTGCATACCATCTTCTTTCCATCGTTCGTTCATCTTGTGTACGCCATATTTTAGTTTCATTTTTACGTTTTATTTTGTAAAATGTTGATTTGTCGCTGAATACTACATGTTTCCATTTATTAATAGTTCAATTGGAATATTCTAAACATCAATCAAGTCTAGCTTTTTTTTTAATCATTTTTGTTAAGAAATGGCGTTGAGATTTTAATTCTATAGTCATAGCCACATTGATGAAGATAATTTATAACTGTTCTTTTAGAAATTGAACTTTCTAACGAATTATTTAAGTTAAGCATTATTTCTCGTGCAGAATAACGATTATCAGTTTGTACTAAATATTTCAACATACGGACGTTTCGATCGTGTAGTTTTTTTTTTGGTCTACCATTACGTTGATGGTCATAAAAGTCACTTTTTTCTTCAAAATGCTTTTACAGCACATTGAACAGATGATTTGGACATATTAAAAATAGTGTTAATTTTACAGTAAGTCATACCAGCTTTTCTCAATATAACTCATTGAGTTCGTTGATAGTCACGTTGAAATTTTTGCGGCATATCATTATGTTTAGTCGAGTTTTAATTACATAAAAACACGATATTGTTAAAATTCATTGCTGATCTGATCTGTATATAATAGACTAACTATCACATGCGGAAATATTCACGAGGAAAAACAGAAACAAATTTATCTGGCAAGAGAGAAAACGAAAAATGTTCAGGAAGAAAAAAAAACATGTATCGAAAACGAAAGGAATAGTAAGAAGTAACAGAAGACTGGAAAAAAAAAACACCATGCTCAATGATATACAATAATCATTTACATGAATATTTGATTTCAGAATCGTCTACCACTGCCTAAAATATACGTTTTGATAATTTTTTAAATTCTTCCTAATCTGGCTTTATTCGTAAAAAAATTTAAACTGTCCTAAAACTTTTTTGCCCCTGGAGATTTTTTTGTTTTTAATATTAAAACAACAAAGTTTTGTGTCTGTATAGTATAATATAAAACCTTCTTTAATAACTATACTAACTACCTATATAAATTTTAATTTGAATCTAATATGAAATTCTGAAAAGTAATTCTTTAGTGTCTCAAAATTTTTTGCACAGTCCGTATAATATTTATATTTTTGTGATTGAATAACAATTGTGTTAAAGAATAGCTCGTTTTATAACTTGACTTACGAGAGATCCTCCTCAGCTGTCCCTTTAGTGATGCAACTAGGATTTTTCAGTATGCTGAATCTCGACTTCCGAGCATGGGACTCAGATGAAACTCAAGGAGGATGATGTTAGATCCAAATGATGGAATTTTACCAAAAAAATTAGCGTTTTCCTGATCCCTCCCAGAATTTTTTTTTGCTGTTAGTAGTATCCTGATTTCTAGAATTTGATAGAAAGCTATACTAAATTTCATCGACAGATTTCAAATTTCATCTAAAAATACGCAACCATTCAAGAACTTTAACGTTTTGAAATTTTCGCTACATGTGGAAACAATTTTTGCAAAAGCTCAAAATGTTATAACTCTTGAATCGTTGTGTATTTTTAGATGAAATTCAGTGTAACTTCCTATCAAATTCTAAAAATCAGGATACTACTAACAGCAAAAAAAAATTCTGGGAAGGATCAGGAAAATGCTAAGTTTTTTGGTAAAATTCCATCATTTGGATCCAACACAAGGGGTAAACAGCTGATTTTAATCAATTTTAAATCAAAAAAATCAGTTTAATCAGCTAAATCAAAAAAATCAGAAAATTTTTAATTTCTTTTGTTTAAAAACATCAATCAAGAGTGAAATCAGCTGAAATCAGTTTTTTTTTGATTTTTCTGATTTTCTTTGATTTTTTTGATTTTTCTGAATTTATTGATTTTTCTGATTTTTTTTTGATTCTTCTGATTTTTCTGATTTATTTTTTTATTTTTTTGATTTAAAATCAATTGATTTAAATAAAAAAAATAAAAAAAATAAAAGAAACCTGATTTTAGCTGTTTCCCCCTTGATCCAATATCACACTCCATGAGTTTCATCTGGATCTCATGCTCGGAAGTCGAGATTCAGCATACTGAAATATCCTGGTTGCGTCACTGTGTCTCCTGTTCGATTCCAATTAATTTTTTACCTCTACATACTACATTGTGTTCTAATAAAAACTGGTTTCTTATTGAATTTTGATCTGAAATTTCATCGTTATGATTGTTAATACTGACATCTATAGTTAGTAGTTATAATAGGTATTCTCAAGTGTCAACTTAATCATAGTTTATTAGATACATTCATTTATTCTATTGAGTTGTTCTCAATAAATCAAAATAATGTTAACATTACCTATTTCATTTTCATCACCAATTATAATTAGTGTTAGTATTTTAACAGCAATTGGTGCTTATGTTTTATTTGGACCTGAACCAGAAGATAGAAGAAAACGTGGTTTGTTTTATATATATATATTAATTTAAAAAAGAAAATTCTTTCTATTTCAATTTCATTAGGTTATCCCGGTGGTTTAATTAATTATGGAAATAATTGTTTTGCTAATGCTATTGTTCAATGTTTAGCATCATCATCAATATTTATTCGATGGGTTGAAGAACATCTTCAAAATAATACACTTGCTAAAATTCTTCTTGATCTTATTAAAACTATAAATGGTCAATCATTATCTTATTCACATGAATCAACTGTTGTAACATTAATTGATAATATGCGACAACCAAAATGGTTAAGTCCATTTGAACAACAAGATAGTCATGAATTTCTTTTATCACTTATTAATTCATTAACAAGTACACAAATAATTCAAACAAAACAATTAGGTTTTGCTGCATGTCTTGATACAGATGAACAAGATATATCAAAAACAATAATGATAAATGAAAGTCCATTAATAAATCCACATCCATTTCAAGGTTTACAAGCAACACAATTACAATGTACAGAATGTAAACATAAAGTAAAGAAATTTTTAAATTCGTTGTTTTTGTTTTTAAGTTTTTTTTTTGTTTTTATTATAGAATCCAGTAAGTGTTTCTCTTTTTGAAACACTATCATTAATAATTCCTGAACGACAAGTATCAAATTCAGGAGTATAGATTTTTTTTTTATATATTTTATATTTCTTATTTTTATAAATAGTTATTTTCAATTCGACAACAACAACGAAATTTTACATTACAAGAATTAATTGGTAATTATCTTAAATCAGAAATGATTAGTAATTTAATATGTAATAAATGTAAATCAAAAGAAAATTTACCACATAGAAAAATAACAACTTTTTCAAGAGTAAAATATTATTATATATTAATTGAATAATATTTTGATTTTGTTTTTTTTTAGTTACCAGAAATTCTTTGTTTACATATTATTCGTACAACATGGACAAATGAAGGTTGGCCAATAAAAAATACTTGTCATATATCATTTCCTGATCTACTTGATATGAATTCATTTATATCATTATCACGTCTTTTACCTGCTAATATACATCCAACTCAAACAATTAAAAAACCATCAACAGCTCATTATAAACTTAATTCTATACTTGTACATTTAGGTGGTATTAGTGAAGCTGGACATTTTATTGTCTATCGACGACGAATAAATAGTAATGAATGGCTTTCAATATCAGACGATCATATTCGAGAATGTAGTGAACTTGAAGTATTTACTTCTATGGCATATATTTTGTTTTATGAAAGAATAAAAAAATAACTACAATATTACAATTTTAATGATTCTATATATACGATAATATCAATGATTATCGATTTAGATATGCACGTATAGAATAATGATGATCTTAAAATGTCTTTCGAATTTTTTTTGTAAAACATGATTAAATTGTAAGAAATAACGAGAGAATCTCTTCAGATATTAAATCACTTTTTCAACCGAGACAATATTTATTTGATAAATACCCGCATAGTCTGATTTTTCCGGACCTTTGTTCTTGAGATATATCGAAATTTTACTCGATTTTTCAACAAAAAGTTGTGGCTTCTTTAGTTTAACCCTTTACCCTCCCCATTGGCTGTAAAAATGATTGCAGAAAATAATGGGAGTATGGAATTTGAAAATGATAAGAACGTTTTTTTGTAATGAACTTTATGAGCTATCGCTTGGTAAAAATAAATCGATAATTTTGTAAAAAATCGAATTTTTCGAAATCAATTGTTCTCTACTAACAGTAAATAAAGATCTTTTGGGATTTCTATGTTATATAAATTGATCAAAGTATCTACTAAGAAGTTAGATATGTTTCGAATGCATCGCGATAAGCTGGTCAATTACACACACTAACGCACATAACTGACCAAGGAATCGTTATGAGGCATCTTTAGGGCAATTAAGAGGAATGGTAATATATGTATTATAAATCTCAGCTCATAAGAAGTTAGAAGAGTATTTATTTTGAATTAAATATCTTCAGAAGTTATAAAACGGCTCAAAGCAAGGTAGATGCCTATTTAAGAAAATGTGCTAAAAATACATGCATTCTTTCGATATTAATTTTTATCGGTTTATTTCTTCCACTTTCCATTATTCGAATAAGATAGAATAAATGTTAATTTTGCTCATTCAATAATGCGATCAAAGAAAAACAAATCAACGCTTAATATGTCGTTCCATCACAGGATTAACCCTCTGTTTATATAGTTATTTTATTGATGGCTCTTCTAGAACCGCCATGGCGGATAAAGGGTTAAGCTAAAAGTTGCCTAATTAACTAATCTCATTCAAAAACTTTGTTTGTGCAAGATTTGTAATCAAAAATCAATTCTTCAAGTGACCTGAAGAGAACTACAGGTTTTTTGTATTGAAAAATGTATAGTACTTTAGTCTTAAATTCAGGTTGAAAGAGGTATTGTTTGTTCACTTCTTCTGAAATGATTTTCCACTATTTTATCACCATATTTATATGTTGATTAGGGAACACTATGAGCTATATAATGGTATAATATTAGTAACATATCATTGAACTATAGTCATAAAAAGATTAAAAGAAAATATGTGAGGAGAAGAAAAGTGTGACGTAAATTTTTGCAAATTTATATATTTTATATAAATAACAATTGATTTATAGGGTGTAGGTGTGGATGTGATGAAGAAGATCCAATACCCATCACTACCATTGTCAGGATCAATATTCATTTTTTAATTATAATACAGCAGTTAAAAACAATTAATTAAATCGCTATTGGCAAATAATAGCTATTGTGTGCGAGTGTCTAATAGACTAGTAAAAATATAATAAATATGTAATAATAAATTAAAAAAATTCAAATAAGACAAGAGATAGTTATACGTGAAATGAATGATTATTTATATTTACTAATGGCTTTTACTTTTTGAAATAGTGTTAGCCGGCTCTATACACCCGTAGTTACAATACATGATAAATATCTTTTGTTGTGTAGAAAAAAATATGAAAGATTAAAAAACACCAAAATTAAATTTTCACCCTGAATTTGACACCAAAGTACTATCGTAAAATGTGGGTATCTGTAGTACTCATCAAATAAAGATCGACTCGGTCGAAAAGTGATTTGACATCTGGAGAGATTCTTGCATTAATTCCCATGATTTAGTCATGTTTTATAAAATAAAGCTATTTTCTTGAAATGATTTTGACAGATCGAAATCTATCAGAGTTTTATCATGCGTTTATCGTTAGTCTATACGTGTAAGAACGGTACACAGTCGTCGTTGCATGTCTAATTCTATAAAACGACGTTTTTTTCATCTACTTGAATTTTTTTTTCTCAAGGTTTTTATTCGATCAATAAAGACAAACTATAAAAAAAATACTGATCTATATGTTCGTACTCCCATTCATCTGTAAAATATATGCATGTGAAGTATTTCAGTTAAAGAGTATAATTGTAAGAATGATGAAAGCAAGTTTAGAATGGATTTTTTTAATATTTGCTATTTTATTACCGGTTATTAATGGGCTAAGCATAAAAAGTATTGATGGTGGTTCAGATTGTGCTAGTTGCACTATTATTGTTGGTCTTGTTGAAAAATTATCTATTGTCTATAATGAAAGTATTGTAAATTCTCTTGAACGACTTTGTAATGTTTTACCAACTAATTTAAGAATTTATTGTAAAGTAGCGGTTGATTTTTTTGGGTAAGTTAATAGGATAATTTCAACGAATGAAGAATGTAAATAAAATCTTTAGGACCAATTATTATTGATGGTTTTATGAAAGAAGATAGTCCTGATATTATTTGTCACGCATTAAAATTTTGTACAGATGATCCTGGTCAAGCTAAATGTCGTCTTTATCTATCAAAATCTCCAATTTTATTTACTCAACATGTTTTAAATCTTCATCAACAACATTCACAACCTTCATATGATTTATCAACGTCAAAAATTTGTTAAGTTCCTGGCATAAAAGAAATTTGTAAAATTCTAGAAAATGCTTTCAATAATCATATACCATCAGTTGATTTTGATCAAGATAGATTTGGTTCAGAACCAACATTTCGTGGTAGTTCATGGCGTAGAAAAGATTGTAATGATTTTTCATCAGCAATTCATCCTGGTGCTCGAATTGTTCAAGGTGATGCTATTATAGATCATAATTGTAATGGTATATATGGTATTAATTCAGCAACTGGAAGATCATGGGAAGAAGAATTTTGTAATGAAACACAACGTATGGGTATAGCAGTATTAGGTGATTCAATATCTGCTCATTTTCATCTTCCAAAACAATGGTTAGATGCTAATCTATTTTCATCAGAAGCATTTGAACATGTTATGTTCATTCTTGAAAATGAACTTGATTAGCCTCAATTATCAGCAGTTACAAGTCATATAAATGTTAGTTGGCCAAATATTGAAGATAAATAATATTGATAAATTTATATTGTTAACATATTCATATGTTTATATTTAGGTTCAACACGTTTATTTGATCTTGATCATTGTAATCATCGTGATTATCAAAATATTGCTGTTACTGGAGCTGATAGTAAATCTATTCTTGATATAGCTAAAACATTAAGACGTAATCTAATAAATGATGTACCATTACTTGTAATCTATTCATTAGTTGGTAATGATGTTTGTAATGGTCATCCAAATACATTGGATGATATGGCAACTGTTGAAGAAATGTATTCAAATATATTAAATGGATTAGCTTATCTTGATACAATATTACCAAAAGGTAGTCATGTATTAACAACTGGTTTAGCTAATGGTAATGTTTTATATCAATTATTAGATGATCTTATTCATACATTTGGTCGTATTGGTATACAATTTACATATAAAAAAATTTATACATATTTATCTTGTTTACAAATTTCACCATGTAATGGTTGGTTAACATCAAATGATACATTACGTGCAATAATGACCAGGGAAAGATTAAAATCGATGCTTTGTGAAATGAGACTTGATTACAGATCGTGGAAGGTAAAAAAATCAATACGGAAATTGTTTTTATATTCAGGTTTACTATCATCGCAGAACGCTTCTAATACGAAGCGAACGAATTGTGTTTAACGTCGAGATACCATTTCTCAGTCAGATTTTACCCGAGAAAGTTAGGATGTGGTTAAGTGAGTGATTTGTAAAAAATGGAAGTAGGAAACACGGAAGTGAGGAGTCGGGAGTGGCGCTGCGAAGGGATGCCGACGATCGACTCGGAGATAGTCTGTGCTCTTCATATAGAAAATGTTTTTTGTAGAAAGTTTTGAGGGATATATCTCCCTGGCCAAAATAAGTGGAACACTGTGTTTTTTTTCATTAATCCTTCTCAGAATTATCTTTAGGGCTGATATTGTATATCACAGATAGATGTTCAATTACCAAACTTATCCTGAAAATTTCATCCCTATAGATTTAGAATTTGTCGAGCAAATTACAAATTTATCTGATGTACTCATGTGCCACTGAAACGAAAATTTAGTGTTTTATCTATTTTTTTCTGTCATTTTGATTTGCCTCCGTTATCTAAACCTTTCTGTCCCAATTCCGCGACTGTAAAAAAGTGTAGTTGCAAAAAGTAGAGCACACCCTACGAGCAGTCAAAAACACCAAGGACAAAGTATGACTCAGTTGTTGTGTAGCCAGGTAGATCATTTTTCATCATGCTCTATTTTATCAAGAGCATAAGACGCGCAAAGTCCACCTTTGAGATGGTGTTTGCTAATGATAAAAGACGAACATGCATCGAAGCAAAGATAGCATGATGATAAGAAACTGCAACATAAATGTCTTGTTTCCAATGTTAGAAGAAAACTTTCTCTTGGCTCTGTGCTCATCGTCAAGTTAAATGCCTATAATCATTATATTCGTTCTCGGACATCTTCACTAGAGTGAAAATGTCTTAGCACGAATATAATGTCACTAGAAGCATGAGTTGCTATGAGTGAGTGAGTAAGTTGTTCAACATGTACCCACCCGATACTTTAAATCCTGATGGCCTGCTCTCTACGGGAAACACTTGTCATGGAATCGAACAAGAAAACTAAATATGGTTTTCAGAATAACCAGTAGTGTCGTCCTATACGATATTTACTAGTTTTTTAATCTCAGAGCGTAGTGCTATTCTTTCAGAGAAGGGTAAGCGAATCCGTACGATGAACGCTACTTGTTATCACAAATTCTCTTCTGATTTTTTTCTTATTGATGATAATAATCTAGTCGATGTAGACCTAAAAATAATTTAGTCGCTATTCCATATGTTCTGTTTCTTAACAATTAATATTCTTCAAAGGTGTGTATATTTGTGTGCAATAATTTATACGATTATTTTCAGTTGTGAAGAATACGAACAATGTTAAAAATAATTATCAGTTGGATTGGTTTATTACTGATCGTCTGTGTACCATTAGTAGAAAATCGTTTAACTAGTAATTTAAGGAATGGTGTCAATGGTGGTGTAGATTGTGCAACTTGTTCAGTACTTTTGGGAATTGTTGATCATCTTACAATTGTTTATAATGAAAGTGCTACTCATGCACTTGAACAACTTTGCTCATTTTTACCATCTGAATACAAAGTTTATTGTTTAGCTGCTGTTGACTTTTTAGGTAAATTGATATTGTTCTAATGAATTCATAAATATAGAATATATGATCTATAATTCTAGGTCCATATATTATTGATGGTTTTATTAAAGGAGATAATCCTGATGTTATTTGTCATTCATTAAAATTTTGTAAAGATGAACCTGATCAAGGTAAATGTCGTATTTATCCATCAAAATCTCCAATTTTATTTACTGAACGTGTTTTAAATTTTCGTCAACGACATCCATCAATTGATTTACATATAAATGATCCAAAAATTTGTGAAATTCCTGGCATAAAAGAAATTTGTAAAATTCTAGAAAATATCTTCAATAATCATAAGCCAGCAATTGATTTTGATCAGGATAGATTTGGTACAGAACCAACACTTCGTGGTAGTTCATGGCGTGGAAAAGATTGTAATGATTTTTCATCATCAAGTCGTCCTGGTGCTCAAGTTCTTAATGGTGATTCTGTTGTAGATCATAATTGTAATGGTATATATGGTATGAATCCAACAAGTGGAAAACCATGGGAAGAAGAACTTTGTAATGAAACACAACGTATGGGTATAGCAGTATTAGGTGATTCAATATCTGCTCATTTTCATATTCCGGAACAATGGTTAGATGCTAAACAATTATCTGCAACTGTATTTGAACATTTAACATTTATTCTTGAAAATGAACTTGATTGGCCTCAATTATCAGGTACTACAGGTCATATAAATGTTAGTTGGCCAAATATTGATGGTAAATAATATTTATAAATTTATATTGTTAATATACTAAACTATTTATATATAGGTCCAACTCGTTCAGTGTATGCTCGTTTGTTTGAACTTGATCATTGTAATCATCGTGATTATCAAAATATTGCTGTTAATGGAGCTCGTAGTGGTTCTATGCTTGATATTATGAAATCATTATCACGTAGTCCAAAAAATGATGTACCACTTTTAGTCATGTATTCATTAGTTGGTAATGATGTTTGTAATGGTCATCCAGATACAATCGATCATATGACTACTGTAGAAGAAATGAAAAAAAATGTTTTAACTACACTTGAATATCTTGATACAGTCTTACCAAAAGGTAGTCATGTATTAACAACTGGTTTAGCTAATGGTAGTCTTTTATATGACTTATTACATGATCGTATTCATCCATTTGGTCGTGTTGGTACACCAATTTCTTATACACAAATCTATGATTATTTATCTTGTTTACAAATTTCACCATGTAATGGATGGATGACATCAAATGCTACACTTCGTGCATTAACTACACAACGAGCTATGGAATTATCTGCAGCCGTACGAAATGTAACATATACTTATAAACCTATGCAATATGATATTGAATATCTTGATTTTCCATTTAATGATGTTATTCAAGAATGGGTAGCACAAGGTGGTGAACCATGGCAATTAATTGAAAGTGTTGATGGTTTTCATATAAATCAATATGGACATGCAACTGTTTCTGATGTTCTTTGGAAATGGTTACAAACAAATAAACCACAATGGTTACCACCACTTAATCTACATAATGCAGACATTGAACGTGTTTTTAAAGATCAAGGTGGATATTAATAAACATTTTTTTTTTTCATCACTAATAAAAATGTATTCACAGTCACTATTCATAAAAACAAAAACTGTTTTGAAGTGTCACTACATGCTAAACAGACTTGAAAATCGAGTATTTCGATCCAATGATATGAAATTGACTTTTTTTTTAACATAAGACGAAGATGCATATTATTTTAAAGTATACATATAGAATATCAATTGATTCTTGATAAAAGAAAACAAGCGAAAATAATTGTTATTTCAGAAATCTCGTCTATGTTCTGAATGCATCGGATCATTCGTTAGTCATTTTAAACTTCCTTGCGTTACATTCTTCGTCTTCTTCTATTTCTTATCATTGCCGATAAATTCATTCCGGATTCGAATTCAATCCGAATGGTTACAAGTTAAGACGAAATATCTTGTACTAAACTGAACGATCTCCATATTTAAATAGAACCGGACAAAAAAAATCTGAGATATTCAAATCAAGAAAATTCGTAGAAGTGATTCTTGTAATCTGATGCAAAAAGAATAAATAAATTCTATGATTTCAACTAACATCTGTTATTCTATATATAAAATATTCTTCTTCCAATAGATAAATCGATTGTTTATATTCAATTTGAACAAACACTTGTAATATTACATTGCCAATGGGTGGTTAGTACTTAACTACATTCATTTTCTATAAAAGAAAACATATGCTGATTGTTGATTTGTTCATATAGTGAGGAGGAGGAAACATGTGCATTCCATTAACTTCATTTGATCATGTCAATCAATTGCCTTGAAATAAATCACTAGAAGTAATATGTTGAAAATTATAAAAATGAATGATCATAATTTTTCAACTTTTCATCATATCGATCATTTTAGTTTTTGAACTATTTATACATTATCATTTTCAAATGATTGAACTTTTTATTCTATGAGATATTGATTCAAACACAATTATAGAATGATCTTATCGATCATTTATATTGCTTCTTATAAAGGTTGTTCCATCGACATAATTAAAGCATCTGGATATGAAAAATAAATATTCCAATCTAACGGTCATATCATTTGAAAAGAGAAAAAAAAACAAGATAATCAAACTTAATTTTTGTTCATCAGGTAGAATAGATATTTTATTATTTTAACATGACATTCATTTTCTCTTCCATTTCGGAGAAAAAAAAATCAAACAAACATTCGGATACATTAGTCAAACAGATGTTCATTATTATTAGAAGATAGATACAATTGAATATGTCCTTTTTGATAATGAACTAACTAATATACAGTATATCTATTAGACAAACCAATTATTTTGAAAATTAAGCTTTGAAGGAAAAAATAATAAAACGGTTAACTTTCTACGTTTGTTTATACAATGAAATAGAACAGCTTCTTCTTTTATAAAAAAAAAAAACAATATCTATATAGAGAGAATAAAGGCGTGTCTGATGCATAGAAAAGCTAGAAAGTTCGTTAGTGAACAAATGCGGTATCTTCTTTGATAGTCCTATCATTTTTCCCGTTGATCTACACGTGTTTCTATTTAGTAGTATCGATTTGAATGAACATGCTATTTTCTTTCTTTTCATGCCGACGAATAACTCATTCATTCTATTCAATGATACAATATACAACAGGAAATGTATATGAAGATATATCGAATACAAGGTTTGATTATTACAGATATAGACAATTATATTTTTTTTTCTGTAGAGTGTATATTCAATGATAAATTGCTTTTCTATTGTTCTTTTGTTTTTCGACGTTGATATATATAGAGAAGAGAAATATTGATAATGATGATACAAAAATTCTACTGTGTAAGATTATTCTCTCTGGAAGCATGTGTGTACTAACGAAGAAACTTCTTCAGATATATTCTCGAAAAGGAGGAGGGTTCCCTTAAAGAAAGTTTTTCCTATTCCGTTTAGAATGATGACAAAATTCGTTTGTCTTGTTTTTTTTTCAGATTAAAATATGCATAAAATTTCATTTGCCATATTAATTTGTTTTATTATTTTAATAGTGGATTCAATTCCATCTATACATTTACATTCAAATTTAAATATACATAATAAAATTCATTCACGTTTACGTCGTCGTGAATTTGTACAAGAAGAAGTACGAAAAACAATGTTAAATTATATGACAAGTTTAAAAGGTGAAATAACTGATATTGTTATTGAAGAAATGATTAATTATTATAATAATCAACGAATAAAATTATATGATTTAGAAAAAGAATTATTTAATATAAAAAATTCATCATTACCTATACAAAATACAAATCAAATATTAAATAATTTAATATTACGTTTATCAAAAGAACAAAATTTATTTGCATTAAATATATCATTAATAGAATATAAATTAAAAAATTTAACAATAATTTTAAATAATTTATTAAATGAATTACATCAACAACAAAAACCTATTCAACATGTTAGAAGACTTGTTTCAACAAAACAAGATTTTCAATATCATCAAATACCAATAGGTTAATTAGTATTTTTCATTATAAGAACAAAACTTTTCTAATCAAAAAATTTTAGAGTTTTTGAGTACATTTCAAAGGAATCTCTATCAACCGAATATATTTAAAGAATTAATATATAACTATAAAAATTGAAAAATTTTTTCGAAAATGATTACTTTTAAAAGGATTTCGTCTTATACATTATTGAAGAAAAAGATGTTCCAATTTCTACTCTTTTAGTTGGTGGAAGCCGCAGATCGCTAGCTGTTACCATTATCGAGTTATTGCAAGAATACTCACGGCCAGTTTTTTTTTTAAACAGACAGTAGACTTCATATACAATGATGAATACTTGACTTGAAAGTATTGAAATAATAATCAAAAATAAAGAAAACAAAAAATACATTTTAACAAACATGAAAACACACATTGACCTATTTGAAATTATTTTATATTCGTATGCGTCTCATCTTTACAAAGAATTTTCTGAATTCGACAGTAAGCGATTACCATAATCTTTACTACAGTGGTGGCCAAAATTATAAGACCACTTTATTTTTAATTTTTTT